GGACTGTTTGTCTCCTTGGGTGGGAAAACCACAGCAGGGAGGTTTGGTCCCAACCTGAAGCTTTGGGATCCTTGGGAGGAAGCTCAGGTTGGTTTCTGCTCCATCCAAAATCCTCTTCTTGTATCAAAACCAGTTCTCTTCAATCCAATTAATTTAGGCAGCCATATCTGGAGCCCACTGACTGGATTTTGCATGGATTTCCCCTTTCTCCCCCACTGAAAGGTGCATTTTATGGCAGAAATTGCACTGTTGGGAGGAAGAACCCCACAAAAGGCCRAGGATAACTCTCCAGGTCAGCCCCACCTTTCGTGTCCACACCAATTCCTCACCCCAGCGCTCCTCAAAGGAGAGGAGAGTAAACAAAAGCACAAACAAAGCCAAAACACTTGATCTGCAAAATCATTTTTAGAACTTTACCAGCTGGAAGAACTCTGGTGGTGTTGAGAGCAAAAGGAGAGTGAGGAGGGGGAGCTGCTGAGAACCAGCAGGTGCTGAGGGTGAGGAAACAGCACCAAATGCTCCAAACTCCTTGGTTGTTGGCATGGAGTGGATAAAAGCAAACCCTGCTGCAGCCCACAACATCTGTGACCCCGAGAGCAGCGAGTGCTGTGGATCTCACCCCAAATTTCGTGTCAGTCACACCCACAGCACCTCAGAGGAGCCAAACCCTGGTGGAAGGAGAGCCCACCAAGCACAGAAACTCTSCTGCTGCTCAGAGCCATCCCCGCTCCTCTGACTGGAAATTCAGCTRAAATAACCTGGATTRTGCCCTCAATCRGAAAAAAAAAMCTCCAAAATAACAACTAACAGAGCATTTGTCATTTAACAAGAGAGCAATGCAATTAAACATGGGATTTTGTTAATCGTATGAAGCAGCAATTTAAATTTAATTTAAATTTGAATCAAGCTCTGCAGTCATCATTTAGGCAAATCCAGCTGGGGTTTTACCTGAGTAGGAGAACAGGCTTTGGAAAATTCAAATAACTTTGTGCCCTGAGATGACTTTTCCAAGATGCCCGTGTCAAAAAAAAAAAAAAAAAAAAAAAAAAAAAAAAAAAAAAAAAGTTCTGTCAGCTTTGAATCAACAGAAGTTTGTTTGCTTTAGAAAACATGGGATAAAGAGGGAATCCTGGGAAGAGGGCAGTGTAAATCCTGGGATAAAGTTGGTGCAGCTCAGCATCCCTCAAAAACTGTGGCAGTTGGTCCTGCCAAAATGAAAATTAGCCTAATAGAAGAAGGCACTAATTAATGGAGATAAAATGAAATGAAATGAAAACTCCTTCTCACACAGAGATAGGCAAATGCTCCTCAGGATCTTTTTGCTGCAGTTGGCCCAGCTGTGSAAAACCACGGTGAGGAGACAATTCTGGTTTGTTTGCTTTAAGCTGGGTTTAATCGGGGCAATCTCTCCCTCTCAGAGCTCTGAGGGGGAATCTTCGCCCCGATCCATCCCCACAATCTGTCCTGCCTTTGGTAACTCAACATCCTTCAACTAATTTCACTTAATGCAAATATTTGGATCAGCAGCTGCCCCATGCAACACAACCTGGGGAAAAAACTGAGTTTGGAGCCTGTGGAAGGCGGCCTGGTCCACAAAATCACTCAGACTCAAAGGTGAGGATTAGGACTGCCCTGAAATCTTCTTCCTCAGCTCCATCATCCCGAGGGATGCTGCTCCTCTGGGATGTCACACATCACCAGGATCCTTCACTCCACAGAGGTCCCTGCTCCCAACATTTAGTCACTCTCCAGTCCTGCCCTCAGCTCATGATTCATTTTGAACCTGCCTTTGAGCTATTATTTATTTAAGCCCCACCCTAATGTGTTATAACGTAAAAGTCTGAGAATGCAGAACTTTTAAAACCCCATCACATCCCAGGAAAACCAGAATTGGTTAAAGGACAYGCTGGAAGGTCCTGRGYACYGTTGTGRCCCCGAGGATARGTGACAGCTCCCCACAAAAGCTCCSTGARASATGGATTTGAAYCAAAATTMYAYCCCCAAAGCCCTGATCTCTGCACCAGTATTGGCCGAGGAATCCCCCTTGGAGGGGCTTTTCCCACAAATTTACCACAACACCCTGGAAGATGGGAAAGCATCCAGCACTCAAAATCCCTTTGCTCCAGGAGGGTATCCCAAATTCTGACAGTGGCTCCTAATCCCGTACCCACACATCCCACAGCCGTACACTGCAGCTTTCCAATATTTCTTTTTTTTTTTTTTTTAATATTTGGTTCAGTTTAACCAAGCTATCTGGGCACAAAATGTTAGATTATTAAATATGAAATTTGCACCCAATACTGCACCCCGGTTTTAGGGCATATTTGACACCACCAGAGTGATTTCGTTTAGAGGGCAATGAGCACGGGAGCAGGGATGGGATGGATCCAGAGACAGCCACCCCAAAGTCCCTTTATGATGCTGCTGAGACTGATCCACMGGAGCTGCCTGGGACCGAGCTCCCCAAATCCTGAGGGCTTTCCCAGCCTGGCCAGAGCCAGCACCCAGATCTGCTCCCTCCTGACCCAGCCGCTTTCTCCGGAGCCTCCCGCTCACCCCTCCGAGCGCCTCCGCCGCAAACCCCGCTCCCGCAGCGCTGGAGGAACGCAGCGCCCCGTCCTCCAGGACAAGGACACCCCCGGCACGGATCAAACCCACCAGATAACCCCCAGCKGCGGGGAATATCCCCCAGCCCAGCCAGGACCAGCTCCTACCTCCTGGAGCATGCCGATGGCGCGGTGTCCTGGCCGGCAGCGGCGGCTGCGCGGCCCCGAAATGGTTAAAGAGCGACGTCAAAGCGGCCCCGATGAGCGCGGGGCTCCGCAGGGAGCAGCGCTGCGGGGAGCGCTGCCAGCGGCTGCTCCGCTCCTCTCCCGGCCCCTGGAATCCGCTCCAATCGCCGCTTCCCCAACGCAAATCCCCGGGCGAGGGGAATACCGGCGTGCGGAGCTCAGTGATTCATCCCGCCTTGGAAAAACAGGAGACGTGGAAGTCTCTTTGTTCCGCCGGCTGCCGCAGCGAACAAACCTCTCTTTGTGCGGCGATTAAACAAAGGAAGTTCCAGCGCAAAGCCAGGGGAAGACTAAACAGCTCGGCACCACTTAAGGGAAACATCACGTAGGAATGGGACAGGGTTGGGGGCTGCCAGGCTGGCACGAAGGAGGGGACGAGCGGGATCTTGTGCAGAGCGGCACATCCACCGCTGGCACCCGGCCGCGACCTCCAGCGCGGCCCCGGCCGTTTACATTCATGGCCAGATGTTTATTTAGCCGCCCTCTCCTGAAAGCGAGGTGCGGCCTTGCTCCGTTTTTCTGACCCAAGCGCCCTTTGAAATCCAAGCAGAACGAAATCAGTTCTGTTTATCTTGGGGCGAGCGAGTGATGCAGGAGCACGGAGCGGTTGTGCTGCTGTGCCGAGCCGCTGGCCGGACACAGCCCCGGGTGGTAAAATTTGAGTTATCAGCACTGGGGAATAACAGAAACATCTTTAAGAGCTGGAATTAAGAGAGTTTAAGGGTTTGCAAGAGGGGGTCCCCCAGGGAACCGTTTGGGGAGAGASAAGAGGGTTTGCAAAGTCATGGGAGCACGCTGAGGACACCACTCACACTCTGTCTATTTAAACTCAGAATATCCCCAGAGAGCACAAATTCTGTTCTCTGGACTCGATGGACTGCAAAAAGCCCTGACTAAGCCTGCTCTAATTTAAGACGAGGTGAAGGTGCTCTCAGGTCCGTGCAGGAGTCTCCATTTGGGCTGCATCCCGCAGGGACAGGCAGCTCTGCAGAAACAATCCATCTTCTCCTTCCCTCCATTTCACGATGTTACGGCCCCATAAAAACCTGGAGCAGGCAAGCCCAGCACTTSAGCTGGGAAAAAGCCTTGCTCCTTCTTGAGATGCAGGGGATGCACTGAGCACATCCCAAATGCAACATTAGGGATTACAGCCGGTCCCATCTGCAGGACAAGTCAGGCGGAAGACCTGCCTAATGCCAACACAATCTCACAGGGGGTCACCGAGACAGAACATAACCCCTTTTTTATCATCATCGACTCACAAACCCTTCTGAGGCTCAGCAGCTGCCTGAGCTGGAAGGGGGGCAGGGTGATAAAAGCAGGGAAAATAGAGTATATATGTAACAATAATGTAAATAAGTGTGGTTTGCTCCCTCAGGCAGCACCGAGCGCCTGCAGAGCTCCTCACAGCTTATTTTGTTTCAGTGCAAAGCTGCAGGGCCGTATCAGCTCCCACAAAAAGATGTTAGGAAACTAAACGTTAGGAAAACAAACTCCCTTCGTGGCAGCTGCAAACAGGTATTTTTGCAGGTTATTTTTTTTTCTGTATATTATTAGATAAAGGCACGGTGCATGGTTAGTTCTGCAGAGAGCCCGGGCTGGCTCGCACACCAAGCCCAGSACTGACTGACAGCATCCCAGGGAACAGAATTCCCTCTTTGCCAGCTTTCCGTGGGATCCCTGCGGGTGGCACTGCGGGGTCCYTGGGCTCCCTGATGTCAGCACAACCCTGAGCTCGCTGCAAGCTCAGCCCCTCGTTCCCTCGCTCCTGCTGTCATTAASTCCCGGCTCAACGAGGGATACGCACATGTTTAAAGCGCTGCCTTCCGAACCCCATCAGCTCAAAGCCAGGCTGCCGTCCCGCATGGCTCTTCCCCCTCGGCTGCCTCCTTTTTGCCGCAGCGCTTCTGAAAATCCCCCTGCGCGCACGGATGCCGAGAGCCTCCCTCCCTCTCTCTCTCTCTCTCTCTCTCTCTCAGTGCTGTTGTTGCAACTCTGGATTTTCTAAACTACGTCTGTCAGGAAGGAGACAGGAAATTCGAGTCACACTTGCAACAGCTGTGCCATGCCTACTATCAGGCTCAAATGACGTAGTTTGGCTTGGGTGGCGCRGGGCCAGGAACTGGCGAGAGCGGAGGTCAGGAAGATAGGTCAGTGTTTATTCTGCTCCCGCACTTGGGAGCATGCCGAGCCGATTTGCTTTCTTCCTATCTAGACTGTTTCTCTTTCCGTTTTTTCTTTAATAACGTGCAGCCCAAGCATCCTGTTTTCAAAACATCTGCCGGCTTTGCTATTTACCGGTGACAAATGGAGATGCCTCGGAGCGGAGCTGGCGCTGGGACGGGATGCTTGGAGCAGGGAAGRGCTGCTGCAGCCTCCTGGAGATGCAGGAGCAGCTCCTCACCTTGCCAGAGCACTCTGCACATTGTATGCCACCAAACCCCCCAAAAAAGAGCCACAAATCCCCCAAATCGTCGAGCATTGAAACTAAAATGATCTTCAAAGTCCTTTCCAACCTAAGCCATGCCATGATTTGTGTCGATATTTACTGCAGCARAGGAAAGGCAGGCGAGGTGTGAGGCCATTTTATGCTTCTCTTTCACAGCTGAAAACTGTGAAACTGGAAGTTGACCAAAAAGTGCAGACATTTCAGAAACGAGTTATGAAAGTACGAAGTTTCAGGAACCTTTTGCTCGACCCAGCTGCCAGCCATCTGCGCCCAGAGAAATCGCAACTTTTTAGTGCTACAACAAGCAATTTAGTTTCACCTTCGCGAGGCCAGATTTGTCACTCAGCAAAAAAAAAGTAACCTCAAACTGAAGGGCACCGTGTTCACACTGGAGGTGCAGCCTGAACCTTTCTCAACTTTCATCCAGGGTTCCCTCAACACAAACTCAAACAAAAAAAAATAATATTTCTTTCTTGAAAGCTCGCTCTGTAAAACTTTTACTGCTTCCTTTGCCCCTGCACATCGTGGTAATCACTACCAGAAGAGGAAGCTGAAACAACACGGGATTTGTTTGCTCGACTTTTCTCCAGAAATTCAGTTTCTGATGCAGCATTTCTGATTGCAGTAATTTTCAATTAGGGAAAAAACAATAATAACAACGTCGGGGTGGTGCAGAACTGGGTTTRAAACCATCGCAACTGGGCAGAGACGTGGATGTGACCGGCACTGGGATGGGATTTTGTGGCTGTGACAACTGCAGCGGACACGGCGGGGTTGGGAGCGCTGTCTGGGAGCGCTGGAAGAGGCAGCCGCGGGCTGGGAGCTGCCAGGCTGGGCTGGGCRCTGCCAGGCTGGCCCGGGGCTGTGCCCGGCTCCGCTGCAGCCGCGGGCAGCGGGCGGGGAGGCGGCCGGGCCCCGGGGCAGGGAGAGCCGCCCGCCCGCAGCAGCCGCCCCGCGGAGCCGCTGGARCCGAGCTGAGCTCATGCGGGGGAGCGGGGCTGCCACGCCAACTCCCACAAGTTGCGCACAGGCGCTCAGAACTCGCGTTYCGCTCGCTGCTGCTTCTCAGGAGACTCCTGGGGCTCTGCTCTCCCACCTCCCTAAAACACAGAGGGCTTTTCCTCCTCTACTTCAGCACTTTATTCTTTGCAAACAAACTCGCAAGTCGCCTTCGGCTCGMAGGGAAAGCCCCGCAGAGCAGCAGCCCCCAGAGCTGATTCCCCGTGCTCCATCCCTGCCTGCCCACCCTCTGCACGGGCTGCCAGGCGCTGCCGAGCCAGCCCAGCGCATTAAAAACCAAATTAAAACGTTACCGAAAGCCAAAACAGCCGTAAAATACCGGACCACAATGTTTACAGCTCGCCGTTATTAGGGACAGACAACAATGAAGTTAATTGACTGCTGGCGTGATGATTTGCTAAATGCGAGCGTTTGCACAGTGTTCCTGCTCATATCGGCTCCAAGGGACCGGCGCTAATTGAAATCTCTTTAATTTTCGGAAATGAGCCTGGGGCACCGATCGGTCTCTCCACGACATCCCGGGTCGCTCTCCGGACTCCCCCTCAGATCGCGCTCCCCGCTCCATCCCGGGTCGCGCTCCCCTCCATCCCGAATCGCTCTCCCCAAGCCACCCCCCTCGAGTTTTCCCTGGACGCGTGTGTGCGGGGAAACCCGCACTTCCTTCACCACAACTCCCTTGGACCTGCCGTCCTGGACAGGCGCAAAGACAGCTCGGGCATCGGGCTCAGTGCCCCGCGCGTGTCCGCATGCCCGTCCCGCATGCCCGCTCCGCATCCCGGTGCCACACGCGCGCTCACCTTGTTGGATGCCATCTCGCTGACGGAGCGGTAGGTTTGGATGGTCTCCAGCTGATCCAGGCACCAGTCGAGCTCCTCCAGCGTCTCCATGGCCAGCTTCTGGTAGGGCTCCTCTGCGAAGAGGCACACGGACATGTACTCGGGCTGCCGCTGCGGCCGCCTCTCCATGGCGGGGCCGCCCGAGCCGCCGCCAGCGCTGCCGGAGGTGCCGCTCCGCTCCCTCATCACGCGGCCGCCGCTGCGCTGGCCCGGCCGCCGCCAGCGAGTCCCCGCCCGCCGCTGGCCCCGTCCCGGCCCGGCCCCGGCCCCCGCCCCGAACCGCCCCGGCCCTGCCCCCGCCGCTCGGGGGGAACCGGGCGCCCCCCGGGTAGGGCAGGGCTGCGGCTCGGAGAGCGTCATCCCGGCCCCCCCGCCCCGGCTGCTGCGGGGATCGGCCTCCCCCGCCGCTCAGCGCTGCCCCAGCCCGGGATGCTGCTCCTGCTCCTGCTCCTGCTCCTGCTCCTGCGCCAGCTCCCCGCAGCAGCCACAGCCTGCTGCCCAAGAGCCCTGAGCCCCAACAGCCCTGAACCTCAAGAGCCCTGAACTCAAACAGCCCTGAACTCAAATAGCCCTGCTTCCCAACACCCTACTCTCCAACATCCCTGCTCCCTAAGTCCTGCTCCCAAACCTCTCTGCTCTCCAACAATCCTGCACCCCATCAGCCCTCATCCCAGCCCTGCCTGGTTCTGGGACTGCAACAGTCCCGCTCCCTTCATCCACCAGCTCTGCTCCCCAACCCCACCGAGTCCCGATCCCCCTCAGCTCTGCTCCCCAACCCAACCCAGTCCCATTCCCCAACCCCAGCAGCCCTGCTGTCCAATTCTGGCCCTGCTCCCCAGTCCTAGCCCTCCTCCTCAGTCCTGGCCCTGCTCCCTGTCACTCCTGGCTCCCCAGCCCTGCTGCCCTTGTCCCCATCAGCCCCACACCCCACTGATCCCACACTCCAGTGCACTCTACAGCAGGCCTTGCTCTCCAACCCCTCCATCCCTGCTCCTGAACCCCTCCATCCCTGCTCCCCAACCTCTCTGTCCCTACACCCCAACCCATCCATTCCTGCTCCCCAATCTCTCCACCCCTGCTCCCCAACCCCTCCATCCCCACTCCCCACCCCCTCCATCCCCGCTCCCTGCTCCCACCAGGCTCAGCTCCCTGTCCCTGCCAGCAGGACACGGCGCTCCCCAGCAGCTCTGGTGTAAAAGTTAAGGTTTC